GTGGAATAATGATGTCCACAAGGCTATTAAGGAGAAGAAAGATTGTTTCAGATGCCTAAACTTGGAATAGGAGTGCTGATAAGTGACAACATAGAGAAATACAAGGTGACAAAGAAGACCGCAAAGCGAGCTGTGAGTGAAGCAAGGGGTTAGGTGTATGAGGACCTCTACCGGTCTTTAGACATGAAGATGAAAGGGACATCTATAAGATTACCAAGATCCGAGATAGGAAGACAAGGGATGTCAACCAAGTCAAATGCATCAAGGACGGAGCAGATCAACTCCTGGTAAAGAACAAGGAGATCAAGCATAGATGTCGGGAGTATCTCGACAAGCTTTGAATGGAGAGAATGAGAGCACTATCATTGAGCTGGCTGACCCCTTGATGATACAAACATGCGTTTTGTGCGACGAATTCAGGAGTCCGAGGCCAGGAGGGCTTTAAAAAGGATGAAAGGAGGCAAGACGATGGGCCGATTGTATCCTCATTGAGGTGTGGAGAGAGGCCTCAAGACATAGCAATAGTATGGCTAACTAAGCTCTTGAACCTCAATTTTCGGGCTAACAAGATGCTCGAACAATGGAGGCGGAGTATATTAGTACCAATCTTCAAGAACAAGGGGGTGTTTAAAGTTGTACTAATTACCATGAATTAAGCTGATGAGGCATACAATGAAGCTATGGGAGAGAGTCATTGAGTACCGCTTATGAAGAATGACAAGCGTGACAAAAAATCAGTCTGGTTTCATGCCTGGGAGCTCGACCATGGAAACCATTTTCTTGGTACGACTACTTATGTAGAGATACATGGAGCAAAAGAAGGACCTGCATATGGTGTTCATTGACTTGGAGAAGGCCTACGATAAGATACCATGGAATGTCATGTGGTGGACCTTGGAGAAACACAAAGTCCCAACAAAGTACATTACCCTCATCAAGGACATGTACGAGAATGTTGTGACAAGTGTTTGAACAATTGATGGCGACACTGATGACTTTTTGATTAAAATAGGACCGCACCAAGGATCAGCCCTTATCTTTTTGTTGTGGTAATGGATGAGGTCACAAGGAGATATCCCATGGTGTATGCTCTTTGCGAATGATGTGGTGCTAGTCGACGATAGTCAGATGGGGGTTAATAGAAAGTTGTCTATGGAGACAAACTTTGGAATCGAAAGGTTATAGGCTTAGTATACTAAAATGTAGTACATGAGGTACGGTTTCAGTACTACTAGCAACGAGGGGGAGGAGGTTAGCCTTGGTGGGCAGGTGGTACCTTAGAAGGACGCCTTATGATATTTGGGGTCAATGCTGCAGAAGGATGGTGACATCGATGAAGATGTAAGCCATCGAGTCAAACCCGAATGGATGAAGTGGCGCCAAGCTTCTGGCGTTCTCCATGACAAGAAAGTGTCGTAAAAGCTAAAAGACGGGTTCTATAGGACGGCAGTTCGACCAGTGATGTTGTATGGCGCGAAATGTTGGCCAACTAAAAGGCAACGTGTCCAACAGTTTGGTGTAGCAAAATACGCAAGTTGAGATGGATGTGTAGGATAGGGTTTGGAATGATGATATACGTGATGAGTTGGGGTAGCACCGATTGAAGAGAAACTTGTCCAACATCGCTTGAGATGGTTTGGGCATATATAGCGCAAGCCTCTAGAAGCGCTAGTGCATAGCAGACGGTTTGTGTGCTAATAACCTCAAGAGAGGTCGGGATAGACCAAACTTGACATGAGAGGAGTAAAGTTAGCTATCCACCTGCCAGAGCCATGAGTTGGTTCCGAGAGACCTGAAGGATTGGAATATCATCAAAGAACTAGCCATGGATAGGGGTAAAGTTAGCTATCCACCTGCCAGAGCCATGAGTTGGTTTCGAGAGCTTATGGGTTTTAACTCTAGCCTACCCCAACTTGTTTGGGACTTAAAGGCTTTGTTGTTGTTCTTGTTTAAATATTTGGATATACATAAGTAATATTTTCAATGGTAAGTTATGTTTTCTTTCTCTTTATGCATTTTCATTCTCCTTATGCATTTTGCTGTCTTCTACTTCAGCTTTAAATTTATGTCTTATTTAATGAATATGTGTTGCATAATTTGATGCCAGTGAGAACTTTGTGTCATTCAAGCTTCGACTTCGACTGTTGGATAGTACACACGATTATCCATATGGCACTATCAACCTCTTGCATGTTTTTGGAGGGATGCAAAGTATATGTGTTCTCTAGTTGCAAATTTATCTCTTATACTAGTTAATCCATCTAGAGTCCAAATAGGCCACATTCTTTTAAAAATCAGCGTCCAAAAACAGTCAGCATCTTCCAATCTGTTTCCAAACAGCAAAAATATTCAACTTTGTTTCTTTTTCTCGTGAACCCAGTTACGGATGTGTTTTTTTTATCACTGAATTGTAATTGATCATTTTTTCTCTTAGATCGTAACCCTTTTTTCTATTGTTCACTAAAATAAAAATAATAGCTAGATAAATTCCAATTGGATAGATGAGTTTGTTATCCTATATATATTTGTTTGGTTTCTAATTAGGGGTGTAAAAGCCAATTAAACATGCACCGATCACTATAACCCCCTAAAACCTTAGCATTTTTTTATTCCAGATATTAGTTTGATCTATAGTTAAGACACTCAACTATAATAAAATTTGAACCATCGTTTATTCCATCAAATCTTAGCTGTTACTATTTCAATTGCTTTCATATCATCATAATAATTGTATATTTAAAGTGTTCTAAATGGCAGCGACGTAGTATCTTATTTCACCTTCATTGCTTCTGCAAAAGCTAGATAAAATGATCTGTATCGCTAGAATCTATTGCCTTGCACATATTTGTCCATACAAACACTTGAATTCCTTTTTTTTACACCGAATTCCCTTTTTTCACAGGAGGATTCAGAATCTGAAGTTACTGGAAACATTTTGGGGGATGTTGGTCCTGAGGGCACAGAAACGGCTTCATCTGTCCTCATAACAGCATTTCGCTCATTCAAAGAAGCTTTGATTAAGGATGGGGAAGCAAATGTTGCAGAGATAGATGCCTTCCTACTTTGTGTTGACGCTGAGGATGAGAAGAACTCTCTTGTGAGTAAAATCACTGCTTTAGATGAACTGTTGATAGCTGTGAGAGATCGTGTCTTGAGGGTTGGTGCAGACTCTGAATTCTACGGACAGAAGACAGAAACAGAGAGCTGGTGGGAAATGTGCAAAGGGAAGTTACGGAGAGCTTTCTTCTTCGCTAGCTGAATAAGCCTATCAGGAGTAAGTGAGCTCTTGATGTAATGCTTTGGTACTTTAGTTTTTTAGATGCTGCGATGACGGTATGCGCTAAGTTTCATGTATGTTAATTGAACCGGTAATGACTGTAACATCATCAGTAGTTTCATGTATGTTTAATTGAAGCGGCAATGACTGTAACATCATCAGTACTCTATTCAGTATGACTGGTTGGTAGGAGACTAAGCCTTGAGTTTCATCTACTGATGCGTCATTTCACAGATGACCCGTACCTAGAAACTGTACATGCTCACAAGTGCTTCATATTTGTGTCTTTATCTAATCGATTATGTGCACCTTTTGTTTTTTATCAGTTAAATTTATAAGTGCATTTATGTGCGAGTGAGTTTGAAGATCATATATATAAATGCGTGTGGATGTTCTTTGTTCATGATAAGCTTTTTTTTTTGGCGGGGACTGTTGCATAATAAGCAAACATGGTAACTTTTGTAGCCTTTTTTAATGTTAAAGTCATAGCTGTGCTGCTATTTTATGCAAAATCACCAAAGGACTAAATGGTTAGGTTTGTTCAGGTTGCAGCAAAAGCTGTTTTTTGGAGAGTTTTTTTTCTTCTTCTCTGGAACGTGCACCAAATGCACGGCATTTTGTACTGAGAGTTTTAATGCAGATTATTGTTTTCTGCATTTTGCCCACTTTCGTTTAACACAGGATTTTCGTCCAACTTCAACTTCAGAAGTTGAATGAAACTAGTACCCGAGGGAGCGCAGAGTGCACCGAATTTTGGTCTCGACGTGTATGCGGTTAACATTGGGAGCAGTGCACACTTTTATGCAGATAGCGTATGTCATCTCCTTTCAGTCTCCATGGAATGCCCTTGTGTGTGCTACCTCTGCTCGACACGAGTGCACAGCTTCTGCAGCTTGGCTTTGCCGGTGCGTGATCTGTCACGTATACGTGACAAAATGCTCAGCTGGCCAGTCCCCAGCGGTTGAAATGCAGTTTTTTTTTTACCGCCGGCACTGCCCACGACTTACTCCAAAATGGATTATGATCGATCCGAGGTATGACAGTGACGCTAGCCTCGGTGCTTCATGCGTCAGAGATATTTACTCTCGTGGTTAAAGAAATGTAAATTTCGCGCACTTGGTCGCTCAACCATTCAGGTGTCGTTGTGGTAGTGTATAAAGCCTTAATCTTATCTTTATCTGGACATTCTTGAACATGGGATTAAAAAAATGTATTGTCCACCACGAAAGGAATTGCCATGTCCTTTTCAGCGGTGCATACGCGTCATCCATCCACAATTTCCTCATCTGACTGGCCACAATTGCAAATACATCACGTACGAACTTAATTACAGAGTGGTCTGGAGAACTTCTTCACTTATCATCACCAATATGCACAAGTCAAGTAGGATTACAACTGACAAGCCATGAGATAAAATTATCGGCCCCGATAGAAGCAAGCTAACACAAACATTATGTACTCAACCTCATAATAAGAGAAGTACCTCAGCCCATACTGAGGCCTTGTGCAATGGGAGGTGCTTAGAGAGATGCTTAGAAAAATAAACTGGGTTTTTCTAAAGCACCGATGTCTATTTCTACAGAAAAGGCGCTTAGTTAAGCGTCTATCCTGTACAAATAAACACCGATGCTTAAGAAAACCTGATTTATTTTTCTAAACACCTTCCCTAAGCACCTCCCATTGTACAAGGCCTGACAGCTCGGGGATGGCGCACGCACGCATGCTATACCGGGCTCTCCGGGTCCGGCTCCCGTCCGGCGGTCTCCGCCGTCCTGGAGCCGTCCTTCGCTGCCGGAACCGGGAGGGCAGGGCACGCGCGGCAGACGGGGCAGGTGGCGTGCGCGCCCAGCCAGACGTCGACGCACCCGGCGTGGAACGCGTGGCTGCACCCAGGCAGGGCGCGCACCGCGTCGCCGTCCTGCATGGCGCCCAGGCACACCGCGCACTCCTCGCCGCCGCCGGCCCCGCGCGGCTCCGCCTTGAACCTGAACACCGGCATGGCGGCCAGCGCCGCCTCGTCGAGCCCTCCTCCGCCGTCCCTCTTCCTCGTCGCCGGCCCGGCCTCGGGGTCGGGTCCCGTCCGGTGCACGCCGTCCCGCCCGCTCCACCGCACGTACAGATAGTTGAGGTACAGCACCGCCCCGTACAGCGCGAGGCACACCGCCGTGAACGCCGCCACGAGCTCCACCGTCCCGCCGATGCTCCACGACCCCCGGTGCGGCGGCGGCGGCTGCTGCTGCTGCTCGGACGCCGTCGACATGCCGATCGATGGATGTCACTCCACTGGCAGAGTGTCGTGCCGTGCGGTTCTTGCTTTGCTCTCTCCCCGCTGGCTTGGTGCGAGCAATGATGGTTTTGTAGGCGTGTAAGGTTACGGCCGGCGGTGCTGGAGCAAGAGTCAAGTTATGTTCTATACTGTTCTGTCAGTGAATAGATTAACCAAGTTCGTTCCAATAGCATTTACTAGTAATAATAATCTACCCAGCGGCCAGCTCCACACTCCAGTCTTCTTCCAGGCGGCAGCACTCCCCTCTCAGAAAAATATGGCAGGACTTGGGATGAAGCCGAATAATAGCATCTTTATTTATAATTTAATGGTGAAAGTAGAATCTTCAGAATCATGTCCATGTCATAAGTGCTAGTTCGGGTAACGTTGCACTAGCCTAGAGAAATTCTTCTAAAAAGGCACTTGACACAAACCTAATATATACCTGATTTGATATCATAGGGCTTCAAAACTATGCGTGGGAAAAAAACATATTTTAATGGAGATAAACTCCAAGATTCTGTATAAAAGAATTCTAGAAGGATCACTTGTTCCAGCTAAAAGATACTACTAGAATAGTAGATAAGAATTCAGAATTTTACATCTTTGCAACACATATATAGCTTTTGAAAATTTGTGTTGCATGTGTTGTACGGCCCTGGGAGTAACACTACACATATAGAAGATTTTCCTACTGATTGATGTTGGTTTTGATCTGAGTGCTTAAACAGTCAGTTACTCCCTCCTTCCATCTATATAGGGCCTAATGCGTTTTTCGAGGCTAACTTTGACCAAGTGTTAGAGCAATAATATATGACATGCAAGTTACACAAAGCATACCGTCAAATTCGTACGTGAAAGGAGCTTCCAGTGATATAATTTTCACATTATACATCTCATGTATTATTAATCTTATTAATAGTCAAAGGTGGTCTTGAAGAACGCATTAGGCCCTATATAGACGGAAGGAGGGAGTATATCTATTAGTTTAAGAAAAAAAAGAGAGAAAGATAACCTTAATGAAAAAGGCCCCACGTACCAACGTACGTGGGCTTTTTATCCCAACTAAGGCGCCCTGATCGGGGGCACCCAAACCAACTGATGGTTTAGGTCCCCTGTCGCCAGCGCTAGATAAAAGTGGGTACGGTAGAGGGTTGGCAGTCTGCGCGATCACAATTCTCGTACGGTTTCACTCCCCTTCCGATATTCTCTCACACCATCCGATCAAGGGGAGCGCTGCAGCGACGGGAAGACCTACTCCAGCCGCCGCTGCCGTCCCCGGGTAGTGCCGGTGGCGTCCTGAGGGCATCAGGACGTTGAGGAGGACTTCTACCTCGACTACATCACCCCTACATCACGACTGCATCGAGCAGGCGATCATGTCCACTGCCGTGACATGTAATGATCCCCTAAACCCTTCTCTGTTCATGCTTTTAGGTGATCTAGATGCAATCTAATGGCATCCTAGAGATGCATAATTAATCCAACAATGGAATCAGTCGCCAATTTTGATTGCAATAGGTCCCTATATTATTGATCTGTAGATCAACTTCAAGTTTAAATCAAGTCAGGTTTAGGGTTTTATGATCAAAATTGGAAGTTTTAGCCCCTGGTTATCCCAAATATGCATGCCACTGTCTTGATGTCCTCTGTAAATCATCATGTTTTAAATCTAATCTGCTACGGATCAGTACTGCCACCTATGTTCATCAATTTTAATTAATCTAAGTTAAGATCTAATGCTCACCTTCATGTTAAGTTAATTAAAATTGATCATGTTTAAGTCATTTTTATGCATTAGCAAAATAGAAGGCACATGGATATACACAAGTCAATAGTAGCAACCCCTCATGTTTAAGAACCCTAGAATTTATCCTCCATTCGAAAGAACCCTAATTCTGCAATTAGGATTGTTTTCCCCCCAAATCAAGCACTGATGTACATGAATTGGAGAAGAAATGAGGAGAATCCTCACCTAATGCGCCGCGTAGCCGCCTCTTCCCTTCGGGGCCCGCACTGCGTCCACCGCGGTGCGAGGGCGGAGAAGACGTGACGCCGCCGTCCTCGGGACGATGAGCAAAAAGAACTTGAGCTGTCGCCGCCGCCGCTCGAATGGACGTGCCCCTGTGTGGCCTACGCCGCGCGGGTCGTCGTCGCCCTTCATGCCGCGGTGGCCGGTGCCCATCCTCCTTCCTTGATGCGCCATGTGCACGGACGCCAGCAGCCACGCTCGACGAAGGAGCACGCCGGACATCGTCCACGGCATGCTGCTCCAGCAAGCGCAGCCGGCACGCCGCCATGGCCGGCAGGCCTTTTCAGGCCGCCGTCAAACACCGTCTCTCTGCGAGAGAGTGAGAATCGGGGAGGAGGGAAGGAAATGGTCTAGGGTTTGACCGAGCCACTGGTTTTGCTCAGTTGCGGGGCGATCCGAGCCGTCGGCTCGATCCGATGACTGAGAGCATCGCGCGGCTCCCTGTTGGGCCGGTGGGCGCTAATGGGCCATTTTGGACCGTGGGCTGCGGCCCAGGTTGTGATGGTTCAGCGAAAAGTTTTTTTAACGTGTTTTTGCTGCCGGGCTGGGCTCTTTTACGTGTAGCCATGGGGATTTTGGGCCATCATGTTTTTTTATGTTCTTTTACCAGTGCGAATAAGTTAATAAATATTATGTTTTGCACTGTTTAAACCAGAAAATGCGTACAAAATATATAATAAACACATTATTATTCTGAGTAAAATTGATCCAACGAGATATTTTATTCAGGATTTATTATGTATTTTTGGATGATGAACTTTTCTAGACATCAAATAATGATAATGTTTTTTTTATGTTGATGTTTAAATTGAGAATGAAATGACTCTAATTTTAATTCGGACCAACGTTGTTTTATTATTATGAGTCATCCCCTATGATATTTTAATTCCATGTTTTTTCTGCCCAACGGTGTTTTGACATGGAGTTGAAATTAAATACTTGGCATGGTTGTTTATTTACCAACGTAAATTTATAATCATGCAAGTTTACTTATGAATTTTTATGATGTTTTCAGCTTCCGCTCCATTCTGGTCTGACACGATCGAACCACTCACAGGGAGTAATTTCCCTCGTTGGAAGTCTCAAGTCGAATTATGTTTGGGTTGTAATGAGTTTGACTATGCCTTGAGGGAAGAAAAACTTGTGGCACCTGTGGCAGGTGCTACAGGGTATGCAGAACTCAAGAAGGACTATGATGTTAAGATGGAAAAGTGGAATAAGTCCAACCATATTGCGCTTCTTATCATGAAGCGACAATATCGCCAGACATTTTTGAAGCACTGTCTAAGAAAGACACTGCTTAAGAATTCCTCACTGAAATGGAGGAGCAATTTAAAGGCTCCGACAAAGTGTATGCTCACACTACAAGAAATATGTCAACTAATGACCTTCTGTCAGTGACCCTGGAAGAATTGGCCATAGATCTATTACCATTTGAGACCAATTGGTCAAAAGTTGTTCGGGGGGCTCCAAACCCTAAACCATTGCGACCATTTTGGTCAGAAAGGTCGTAATTTCCTTACACGAAATGGTCACAAAGAAAACAGTGCAGGTCCGCTGCCTTATTTCTAGTTGTTAACGACCAATATAGATGGTCATAGCCTTGTAGATTGTGGTGGGTTGTGATGACTAGGCGCCATCTCATCAGTTTTGCCTATGTGGCATGTCCATGTGTCAATTTTTGCCCTAGGTTGTGAAGCAACCTATATTTCTGTTATTCCAAAAATTCCCAAAAAATTCTCATAAATTGTTTGGATCATATCTTCATAAAATATGTCAAAAACCTTCCTTGCCTAATTCAAAAATAACTCAACAATATTCATTTTCCTATCCTGTTCAAAGCAACACTTTGTGAAGGAAGTACCACTTTGGCATGTCCAAATGGTATCCATTTTCTACAGTGCTTTCCTATGCCCAAATAACCATCCTCCACCAAATGTCAGCTCAATCCATTCATTATTTTGAGCCCAACTTCAACATTCATATTTATGTCCAGTGTGGTACTTTGCGAAGCAAGTACCACCTAGGCTCCTCCTTTTGAGGTGAAAATTTGTGAAGACAGTCTTCTTAGTAACTGATCATCCTCAGCCAAAACTCACGCCCATTATCCATGTGCATTTCCCGTACCGCAAATCAAACACTTGGCTGCTTATTCACGTTTGAGCATTGATCGGTCTCCTCGTGAAAATCTTATGTTGTGATTTTCTTCCTAGCACCTACCTGGGGAGTGCCCAACCTACTAGACATGCCTAGGCCGCCCAGAACACATGGCAACGCCACGGTCACGCGGTGACCACGCGACGGGCATGCGAGCTTACGCGCTCTAGAGTTGGGGTCCTCGGCCACCGTCCAAACCTCGATGTCTCGCCATCAAACCATGTATTTCTGATTAAATAGATACTTATTTACCTAGAAATGATTTTTGGAAAAAATAAAGAGCAAACTATGATGTAGTTGCAGTTCAAATTTGACCCGCCTCCATCTGAATCGACCGGAATTTGTCTTTTTCAGCAGAGGTGGATCAAAAATTTTGACACCCAACCATTTTGTCAATTGTGCATTAAATATGGCCTAGTATTTTATAAAATTGATTAGGTCCAATTTTGCAACAAATATATGGTAGGTCCTTCACAAAAAAAACTCATTTCGGGCACTCAGAAAATGGAAAATGAATTTTCCGTGCAAAGAAAATGAAAACTCCCTTAGACAATATTGTTTGGAATTCTAAGATGCACCCTTGTGCACAATATGAGATCATTTGAACAAACTGTGCCATGAATATGGCCACAAGATTGATCATTTGGCTTGAAAGCCATGAATCTTCGCGCATGATAGCTCATTTCTGAAAACACTTTTTTAAAATAATTATCGTATTACAAGTTTATTATTTTTCCTGGAAACTTGGTCACATATAATGACACAATGCGAAGGTTTTCCAATTTTTTGATTTTTTTTGAATTTT